AAATGCTTACAAATATACATTTATTAAAATAAATACATACACGTGGAAACACAACTTGTATATGACAAAGAAGAATCTATGTCTTTGAATACAGTATTAGAGAAGAGTATTGAATCGCCCATGAACTACAAAAAGAACAAACAAGTCTGTTTTGCAGGAAGTGTAACCAGAGTGCTCTTAGAGGCCTGGATGGTGACGCGTCATCTCACATTCTTTGGGCATGTTGTCACCAGGGACTAGTTCTTGGGGAAAAAAGGAAAACCTGCTGGGAAAGGTGGAGGGTCAGAGAAAGAGAGAAGATCCTCAACAAGGTGGTTTAATACAGTGACTTTAACAATGCGCTGGAGAGTATCAGATTGTGAGGATGGTACATGAACGTAGAGGTGCAGATCTGTTGTTCACACAGTTGCTATGAGTTCTAGTCTCCCAGAAGAATGTCTGTCTATTTGTGTTTTATTAACTAGGAAAATCCATTTGACTGTGTGGTTCATAACAAATTAAGGCTAATATTTAGAAAAATTGTGCTCATGGGAAACCTGTACCTAAATCAAGAGGCTGTTGTGTGAATAGATCACTACATGGTTTAAAATTAAGAACGATGTGCATCAAGGTTTTGTCATTTCTCCATGCCTATTCAAGCTGTATGCTGAGAAAATTATTTGAGAAACTCTACTCTGTGAGGAGGAATATGACATTAGGATTGGAGAAAAGACTCATCAGTTACCTACATTATGCAGATGACACAATCTTGCTTGCTGAAAGTGAGGAGGACTTGGAGCACTTGCTACAGAAGATCAAAGGCTACAGCCTTCAAAATGGATTGCAACTCAATGTCAAGAAAATAAAAATGCTCACCACTGGGTGGAGAGGCAACATCATGATAGACGGCAAAAAGACTGACACTGTCAACAATTTCATCTCATTTGAATCCACAGTAGACACCCTTTGGTAGCATCAGTCAGGAGATCCAGAGATGTATAGCACTAGGAAAGTCTGTAGTGAAGGACCTCTCCAAATAGAGGAACAATGATGTCAGTGTGAGGACTAAGATTCACCTGATTCAGACCATGGTCTTCAATCATGCTCTCCATCTGAGAGTTGGACAATGAATAAGGATGACAGATGAAGAACGAATGAATGCCTTTGAGTGGTGGAGTTGGAGAAGAGTACTGACTGTCCCCTGCACTGCCAAAAGAACAAATATGTCTTGGAGAGGGTGCAGCCAGAGTGCTCCTTGGAGACAAAGATGATACAGTTTCATCTCTCATACTTTGGGACCACTGCTGGGAGAGACTATTGGAGAAGGATATCATGCTTGCAAAGGTGGACAGATAATGAAAGAGAGGCAAGACCTTCAACAAGATGGACTGACATAGTGATTGCTACAATGGGCTCAAGTAGGTCAGAGATTATGAGGATTGCACAGGATAGGACATGGTTTAGATCTGCTATTCACAGGATCTCTATGAGTTGTACTTGATGACATTTAACAACAACGACACAGTCACATACCTGTTGTTGCTATTGCTGTTATGTGCCATGGAGTTGACTGTGACTCGTTGCAACCCTGTGCACAATAGCTATGAACTCTGCCTTATCTTGAGCCAATCTCACTGACTCCAACACACCCACTCCATTATCCCAGTCAATCGATCTCATCTAAGGTCTTCCTCTCCTGAGCTGTCCCTTCACCCTTCCAAGCATGATGTCTCCAAGGACTGTGTTTATAAATTTGTACATAAGTGACAATAGAGCACACTTAGACTAGCAGATATGGCAACTGAGGTTAAGCCCTCAAATACAGAAACAAAAAGGAAGAGGAACAGTTGTAAGCAGACACTAGAGACTGGAATGTGGAATGTGAGAAACAAGAATGTAGGAAAACTGGACATTGTTAAGACAGAAATAGAACGCATGAATATTGACATATTAGGTATTGGCAAAATAAGATGGAATGCTATGGGATATTTTGAATCAGATGATCATATGATCTACTATGCCTGAAATGAAAAGGTGAGGAAAAATGGTGTTGCTTTCAGAGTTAAAAAGTTATATCTAAATCTATCTTGAAATACAAGGTTGTAAGTGACAGGATAATATCCTTATGCATACAAGGAATTCCAGTGAAGGCCACTATCATTCAAACAGATGCACCAACAACTAGAGCCAAAGAGGAGGAACAGAAGATTTCTACCAATAATTGCAGTCAGAAATCAACTGAACATGCAATCAAGATGCATTAGTAATAATGGGTAGTTGGAATGCAAAAGTTGGGAAGAGAGAAGAAGGATCAGTACTTGGAAAACATAGATTTAATGATAGAAGCTGGAGAATGATAGAATTCTGTATAATCTATTAATTAATCTATTAAATGCAGGCTATACACATAGATTTCATTTGATGGTATGCATAGGAATCAGATCAATTACAACTGTGGAAAGAATTACTGAAGAGGTTCAATATCAGTTGTAAAAACTAGGCCAGGTGCTGACTGTGAAACAAATCACCAACTACTCACTTGCAAGTTCAAGCTGAAGCTAAAGAAAATGAAATAGAATCCAGAAGAACCAAAATTTAACCAAACGTTTATCCCACTCCAATTTCAAAGCCATTTCAGGAATGCATTTGAGGCCTTGAACACTAATGAGCAAAGACCAGAAGAGCTGTGGGAGGATATAAAGAATATCATGCAGAAAGAATGCAGAAGACCATTACAAAGAAAGAAGAGGAAGAAAAGACCAAAATAGATGTCAGTCTAGACTTTAAATATCGCACTAGAGCACCAAGAAGCCAAAGCAAAGCAAAGAAGTCAAGAAATTAAGGAGCTAAAAAGAAAATTTCTAAGGGCAGCCCAGGAAGACAAAGTAAAATATTATAATGAAATGTGCAAAGAGCTGGAGTCAGCAAACCAACAAGGTCAGCTTGCTTAGCATTTCTTAAGCTGAAGGAATTGAAGAACAAACTCAAGCCTCGAGTTGTAATACTTAAGGATGCTGTGGATAGAATGTTGAACAACCCAGAAAGCATCAGAGAAGTTGGCAGGAGTATACAGAGTCACTGTACTGAAAGGAATTAGCTGACACAGAAGAATTTCATAAAACAACGTATGAGCAAGAGCCTGTGGTGATGAAGGAATAAGTTCGAGCTGCTCTGAAAGAATTGGCAAAACAAGGCCCCAGGAACTGACAGTATACCAACTGATGTATGCACTCACCAAGTTGTGCTAAGAAATCTGGAGGACAACCACCTGCCCAACTGACTAAAAGTGATCCATATTTGTTCCCATTCCAAAGAAAGGTGACCTGACAGAGTGTTGAAATTATTGAACAATATTATTAATATCACATGCAAGCAAGATTCTGATAAAAATGATTTAAAAACGACTGGAACAGCACATCAACAGAGAACTGCCAGAAGTGCAGGCTGGGTTTAGAAGAGGACGTGGTACTAGGGATATTACAGCTAATGTCAGTTGGATCTTGGCTGAAAGCAGAGAGTACCAGAGGAAAGTCTGTGTTTCATTGACAATGCAAAGGCATTTGACTGTGTGGAATACAATAAACTGTGGCTAACTCTGAGAAGAACGGGAATCCCAGAACACTTGATGGTGCTTATGAGAAACCTATACTTGGACCAGGAGGCCGCTATCAGAACAGAGGAGGGAAACACTGCGTGGTTCAAAACTTGTAAGTGTGTATGCCAGGGATGGGTCCTCTCTCCATACCTTTTCAATCTATATGCAGAACAGATCATCCAGGAGACTAGGCTCTATGAGCAGGAATGTGGTATCAGGATTAGAGGAAGAATCATCAATAATTTGTGTTATGCAGATGATACAATCCTGTTTACTGAAACTGAGAAAGTCCTGAAGTGCTTGGTGCAGAAGGTGAAGTACTACAGTATAGACTGCAGTATAGATTGAAGCTAAATAACAAGAAAACAAAGATTCTCACCACTGGGCGAATTGACAGCACCATGATAGACGGTGACTAGTTTGAGATTGTTAATAGCTTTAGTTTGCTTGGCTCCACAATTAATACTTTTGGTACCAGAAACCAGAATATTTAAAAAAAAAAAAGATTAAATTGTATTGGGAAAGCCTGCTGTCAGGGACCTCTCCCGAGTACTGAAGAACAACAATGTCAGTCTGGAGATGAAGATATGCCTGATCTATGATAGTCTTTGCAATTACTTGCTGTGTGTCAGAAAGGTGGACAATGGCTAGAGATGATAGAAAGAGGATTGAGGCCTTTGAACTGTGGTGCTGGAGAAGAGTATTGAATATACCATGGACTGCTAGGAGAATGAACAGGTTCGACCAAGAGAGGGTAAAACCAGGCTGCTCCTTGGAGGCAAGTATTCTGAAGCTTTGTCTGGCATACTTTGGACATATTGCTAGGAGGGACCAGTCCTTGGAGAGGACATCAAGCTTGGAAGGGTGGAGAGAAAGTGCAAGAAAGGAAGACCCTCGATGAGACAGATTGATTCAGTGACTGGAATAAAGGGGGTAATTGTGTCAGGGACAATAAGGTTGGCACAGGATAGAGTAGGGTTCAGAGCTGTTGTATATAGGGATGTTATGAGTTACAAGTGACTCAACGGCACACAACAACAACAACAACAACAGTTTATTAGCAAATCCAGATGGGCTCAAAAATAAGAACTCCCAAATCCTCTTTATGTAGTCAATCAATGCTCTGCAAAACTCAGTGAGAACCAGCAGAGGGAGCTCAAGTAACTTTTAAAACCTTTGACCATATTTGTGATTCAAGCTATAAATTTATGATCAAGAATAAAAAATACAAATTAAAAGAAAACAAACACTTCAGAGAAGAGTTAGTTAAACATTTTTGGTATTAAAACTCCTTGATAATTGATGAAAGGTATATCACACCAACACCGTTTTGCAATTTCAAAGCTCATTCCTGATAAAGTCTAACAACCCAAGGGCCAGGAAGAAAAGTGGTGTAAAAGAAACAGGGTAAAAGCCCTGCTGTACATGAGGTAATGGAAGGGTGTGACTAACTTCACTCATAAATAGAAAATGTAAGGAAAAAATGTGAGGAGTAGATACATGAGCATAAAATTTGCATTGGGCAAAATAGATCAAATAATCAATGATAGGACATATGACAGATTTGTTAAATTTATTCAACAAGATGGAAAGTCTAACAGGATTCAAACCTCCTGAAGTATGGTTGTTATAATTCTGAGTAAAGAATGTATTTATTAAAAGCGTAAAAATAAAAGAATGTTGGGGAAAAGGTATACACACACATACACGCACACACACATCAAATCTAGTCCATTCACTTTTTTCTATTTAGGTCCAGATAGTTTTAATGATATATACTTGATATAATTTCTCCAAAAGGAACTAGAGAAAAAAAGGGCAATGAGAGGAGTGAGGTGATAGGTTAACAGAAAACAATAGTCTTACTTTGCAATCCATTCTGCAGAGTTTTCCTTCCTGAACAGTCAGATCTCCAGGCGCCTGCACAAAATGAGGTCTGAAGAATCGCTCCTGAATTGGTTCATTCTCATCTCCACTGTCTCTTGATCTTGAACGAGGCCTTAACACAAGATAGGCAGGTAGGGGGGTTAGAGAGATTAAGTTATTTTTAGGCTTTTTAGTCATCTGCTTTCTAATGATAAAACCAATTCTTTCCCACAGTGACTCGCTCTGTAGAACTGTCCTACACAGTTTTCAAGGCTGGATTCTTTAAGGTGTGGAGTGGTATATACTGGATAGTAACTCAAAAGTCTGCAATTTAAATCCCGCAGACACTGTACTGGAGAAAGGAGGGCAGTCTCTTCCCATAAAGAGTTACAGCTTTAGAAACCTAAGGGAAAGCCACTATGACATGTTAATCAATTTGAGGGTAGTTTTTGTTGTTGTTTTTGAGTGAAATCTGTATGAAAGCAGACAGCCACATCTTTTTTTCTGTAGACCAGCTGGTGGTCGGCTTGCATTACAGACAATTTAGTCAGCAGTAGGGTACTTTAGCTGGTATCCCACCAGCACTCCCTATTCTTTTAATACACAAGTAAAAATAGAATTTATTTATCCAATCTCAACTCCCAATGTTTACTGACAAAAAACACACACATACACACACAATTAGAAAAGCCAAATCTTTGTTTCATTTGGAAATTTCTTATAGGTTTAATAGCCTATTAATTGCAAATATTCTGCTGTGCTAATTTTTAAACCTAATATGAAGGAGAAATGGGAAAATATGAACTTTTTTCCTAAATATTTTAAAGCCTTATGTGAAGTAGCAGCAGCTTTTACTTTTTTTAGCCTTTACTTTTTTATTACTACATCTTTTCAACAGAAATTACTATAATTTTATATTGTGATTTAAAATATGTTGTTGTTGATTGCCATCGAGTCAAGCATGACTTATAACAACCCTGTGAACAAAAAGCCTGAAGCCAAAATAATTTTAATAATTGTATAAAAATTTAATCTGCAGCCCTCAGGCCTGGTTTTAATTGTTTGTGGTAAAATATTCTTCTAGGTGGTAAAGCACCGGTCTGTTCATTTGCTGTACAGAGGTAACTCATGCCTGCTGTGATGCTGAACATTGTGACATTGATGAGTCAAATGCAATAATGGTTACCTATGGTGGACAGTGTTTAGTGGAACTCCCTGATTAAAACAAGCTTGGAAGGAGGAGTGGCATCCACTTCCATAATAGCTTGCCTCTTGAAACCCTATGAACCTGGAGAAAGGACGAAAGTTATACAAGCGTTCAGGTCTTTTGTTCATAGGGTCGCTATGAGTCATCTACGACTTGATGGCACTTAACAACAACATAAAAATTTAATTTCATTGTAACCCAAATTCCTTTTTTATAATAACCAGGAAATCATATTTTAGGGGATTTTAAAAATCAATTATCCATGTGCTTCAAGACATTTATTTCTTTCAAATAAAAATACAAACCTCTCAAATTGTATACATTGATTTCATATATGCTGCTTTACGTTGCATATGTACTGTACCTTAAAAGCAACAAAATTTAATGTCATTTCAAAGAAGATTTAGCAAGAGGAAGATATTGAATACAGTATGTATATATGCTTTTGTTTTGTCTTGGAGAACATACACAGGAAAACATACATTTATTTAACGGCCCCTGTATGTGCCATTTAGTGACAACGATTATATTCTTCAAGATGTGCATACATTCTTAACCACAGTTTCTGAGTTGTTTCTCCCTCATTAACATAATAAATGTATTGTCCTCTAAAGTATCTATTCAATATTTGGTGTTGCTGTCTCCAATTTAATCACCCACTGAGAGTTCTTACATGAGCAAATGCTTTTTTCACACTGCTCTGGTGGCCAAATGAAAATGAGCTGAGCAGCAATCCCAAAGGCACATGGTTTGAACCCACCAGCTGCTCCAAGGGAGAATGATGGGCAATCTCCTCCCGTAGGACTAATGACCTCTCAAAACCCACTGACGGGTCATCTGTGGGTAAGTTCTGACTCGATGGTACACAACAACAGCAAAGTAAACTTTAGTTTTATAGACTGCAGGGGATATTTTTACTTTTAAAGCACTTAATTAGCAATAATTTACAGCCATAGCACTTTTTATGTGCCGAATCTCATCTAATCTGGACACAAAGCAGGGTTGGACCTGGTTGATACCTGAATAGGAGACTGCCTGGGAATACTGGGTGCTGTAGGCCTTTATATGTTGGTCTGCCATATTCTGATGGCTTGGGTGTCATTGTGATTTTAGAAACTATGCCATCAATAATTCAAATACTAGCAGGACTACTCATAGTCAACAGTTTTCAGTGGAGCTTCCTGACTAAGAAGCAGGTTTGACCACCCACTTCTGAAATAACGGACTTTTGAGAACCCCACGAATAGCAGTGTAACAATGTAAGATAGAGTGCCAGAAGATGAGTCCCTCAGTTTAAAGACACTTGAAATAAAACTCTGAGACATCTTTATTTACTGATACAGTATAACTCAAAATGAGGAGAAAGAACTGAAAATGTCTTTTAATAGCTGGAAAGTGGAATGCACACATCACGTTTGGCAAAGCAAAAAGCCTATGAAAAAGAGGAAGGCCTTCAGTGAATTGACACAGTAGCTGCAAAAAAAAATAGGCTTCAACATAGCAGAAATTTTGAGGACGGTGCAGGATCAGAAGGATTTTGTTCTGTTGTGCAGTGTTGTTGTGAGTCAGAGGTGAATAACAATAGCAACTAGCAATAATAAAATAAGAGAAAGATTACTACCACAGACTAATAGTTACCAACTTTTTATATGGCTTACTCTTTTCCAAATACAGTTCAAGAGAAAATTGTTATGTTCATCATAAGTGTTTGTAGATATGTCTGGGTAATTTCTTGTAAAAACTATTTGAGGGTGTCTCTATAAAAATATGTGTAAATTGACAGGCTAACTGGCCTGTTGTTGTTGCTAGGTGCCGACGAGTACAACTCATAGAGACTCGATGAAGAAAAGATCCGAACACTGTTCTATCTTGTGTCAGGTCCACACTTCTTGACACACAAGGGCACCCTGCGGCAGTCACTGTGTCAATCCACCTGGTTGAGGATCTTCCTCTCCTTCACTGACCCTCCACCCTTGCCTGCATCATATCCTTCTCCAAGGAATAGCCCCTCCTAGCAACATGCCCAGAGTATGTAAGCCCACCTACTATTACCTTCTTAAGTGCAAATAAGCTACTCAGAAGTAATTCTTTCCCTATCTCCACTGTTGAAGAAATGTAGGGCTACAAAGAATGGAAACAACATACTACCTTTTAGATTTTAGTCTAAAACTCTTTTGACCTAAGTGACTGAAGAACTGAATATGAAGTCTAATAACAGCAATTGCTTATAATGGCCAACAAATAGAGCTGCAGGTTTTGAATATCTGTGTGAAAACTGGAATTTTCATGACAAGGTGCATTTTAAGCATGCTAACTTCTTGATTTCCTCACATATAAAATGACATGGAATAACTAATAAACAGATGCTATGTCTGAAGAGACATAGCAAAGGTGAGCAAACATTTGTTCCCTTCTTCCTTTTTTCTGTTTTCTGAAGAAGCATGAAAATCAAGGAGCTACACACTTTTAGTTTTCTGTTCTCCAACCACAGTCGTTTTTATGGCCACACCACAGATCTAATGGTGCTGGAGTTCAGTTCCACCTGTGGGAAGGGAACGTCTGAAGTACCTTCTGACATGAGGATGGCCCGAGGGAGAGCGGAGACTGCGGCCTCTTTGGTTAACAGCTTGTACCATCAGCCGTCCAGTACAACTGACGCGGCCCTGTCAGACAACAGGAAAAGAAATGATTTGTGATGTGAAACCATTAATCATTAAACATTATAATGTCCTATTCTCCTTAGGACATAAGAACCAAGCATGTCATATCAGCACTGACACCAAACCCTTTCAGAAATGCATGTTCTCTGAGTTAAACTCCTTAGGAAAATTCTCAATTTATTTAAAGAATTTAGGTGATAAGTTCTGTTTCTAAACTGTTCAAGTAGGGATATGTTTGACATTACCATCCTTACTGAATTAACTGTAAACTGCTATGGGCTCCCACAATCAATACACATAGTACCAGCAGTTAGGAGAACAGGAAAGTCTGCAATCAGGGACTTCTCAAAATTACTAAGGAGCAATGATGTTCTTTTGAGGACTAAGGTGCACCTGATTCAGGTAATAGTCAATCACTTGCTTTGCATCTGACAGCTAGATAATGAATAAGGATGACAAAAAAAAAATTGATGCCTTGGAACTTTGATGTTGGAGGAGAGTACTGAATATCCCATGGACTGTCCCCAGGATAAATAGATATGTCTTGGAGAGGGTGAAGCCAGTGTGATCCTTGGAGGCAAGGGTGGAAAAACTTTGTCTTGAATACTTTGGACATGTTGCTGTTGTTGTTGTCATGTGCCATCAAGTCGCACGTGACTCATAGCGACCCTATGAAGGCTAGTCCTCGGTGCTTGGGTGTCTCTCATCTTTCCTCCAGGTTCAGAGGGTTTCCAGAGACAAGCTATTATGGAAGTGGATACCACTCCTCCTTCCAAGCTTGTTTTAATCGGGGAGCTCCACCCCACTCTCTGTTGGACACGTTTGGAGAGGTTGTTCTTTGGAGAAGGACATCATGCTTGGAAAGGTGGAGGGGCAGCGAAGGAGAAGACTACCCTCACCTGGGTGGACTGACAAAGTGGCTGCAGCAATGGGCTCAAGTGTGTCAGAGAGTGTGAGGCTGGCACGGGATAGAATAATGTTCAGATCTGTCGTTCATAGGGTCACTATAAGTCATACTTGACTGGATGGCACCTAACAACAAGCTCCTTACCCAAAAAATTCCTGGTTTTGTAAACTATACCAGGAGGACATTACTATCTTATCATAACTTCATTTTCATAGTCAAATATTTATTCAAAACAAAACTCTGATTGCCATTGAGTGGGAATTAATTAATAATTGACATTCCACTGGGTTTTCTGTGGCTGTAAATCAGACAGGAGGGGATTGCTCATTCCTCTCCCTCGAAGAAGCTGATAGAGTCACTGGTTGTAGCTAATGATGAAATAAAAACTAGAATACTTCAGCTTTCTGCATGACATTTTTTTTAGTAATGTATTTATTAAGTATTGTACACCTTCTAAGACACTTATTAACAGAGATGTCAGCATGATAGAATGAGTTTCATATTACAAATACATATGGAGAAGATGGGAGAGCACCATGACAATACAACCCTATGTTCTCATATAAACAAAGTATCTGAGATTCAAAACCCAAGGTCAGTTAACATGGCACCCAACAAGAAGTTGTATTTTTATCTCTCAACTTTGTTATCAAAAGTTTGATAAAGGCTGTCCTGTGGAGGGACAAATGTAATGCCTTTGTAGAACCTAGAGACACAGAGCCCTTT